CATTTCATAAAAAATCTGGTATGACATCGATCCTTTTATGATTGTCAATAACGGTCGGTTACGGTAAAGGGTGTCTTTGATTTAACAGTGTAAACCAGAAAGGAGTGCAATGAAGATTCAAAATAGGGAGGGGGTGTTTTTGAATTTATGCCTAACTAGAGGGGGTGTTGATGAAATTTTTCGTAATATATATTATCAAGCATAATAAAATTTTAAAAAATTCAAGTTTTTACTTAAAAATACAATACATTCTATTTCACATAAAATATTAATATAGATTAGAAATTTTATTGAACTCGAAGAATTATACTGATATAACATAAATTGATTTCAAAAAACTATATATACGATTATTTTTATCTTAGAAATGATGGTTAAACATTTCGATGAAAAAGAAAATAGACATATGTAGGTATAATATTATCTTTGCATATGCGATGAGTAATATTATACTGATGAAATTTTTGAACGTTGTTTTTAACACTTTATTAAAAATATAATGATGCACATTATTTTAGAGGTTATATAGCCAACATTTTTTTTATAGAAACTGATATTTAAAATAGGGAATAGTTAATTAAAAGAGATGTTAGAGATAATTTAGTGATTTAAATACATAATGATAAGATGATAATTTAAATATTTAATTATAAAATGAGTGGTCTTTGCAATTTTTTATAAGAGTAAAATAAAGAATCCAAAGTTTTTCATATTAAGATACTTTTATTAGTAGTATAGATATATAAATGGTTACATGTTATCTTGAGCACTTGTTTTACTATATGTGATTATCATTGAATATTTTAATAAAACTTTATGTGCAAATTGCAATCATAATTAGAAGATGATGAGTTGAGCTTGAGATTTGCAAATGTTTAAGCACTAGATAGAGTTCATTTCTATATGTTTGTATCTCACATTGTGTTGCTTTGAAAACTCAACCCTTGTGCACATTTCTACTATACTAGATTGATAGTTCATTAGGTGTCTTGCTCCAAAGACTAGAAACAAAGAGTGGATATGCAAAGGCCTTAGAGAGTTTTGAGCCTTCATTTTTCAAGTTTTTACAACATTTACTCATTGATTAATTATTCTTTCTTCTATTTCCTTGAATGGTCTCTTTATTTTGGAATTGATCTAACATTGATGTGTTAAATGGCTTCATTTTTTTGAATTATATGTATGGGAAAGTGTGCTGCTAAGAAACTCTTGAGAAATGATATTAGGTCATTTTTGTTATCATTTGAACCTTAGCCCTATTCTTTGCATATCATTATCTCTATAAGTCGTGATTGATCCAAACAAAATATTTAATTTTTGAACCACATCATGTAACCAAGCTTAATATAGGTTGAATATCACTTGCCAGTGGTTATCCCAAGTTGGAGCATCTATTGTCTATGTATTGTGGGAAAGATGTTGGATAAGAAAGTTTGTGAAAAAAAATGATGAAATTGGGCATGTTGATGATATTTACATTTGGAAATTACTTTAGAGAGAGAGAGAGAATGTCTAGGAGTGAAGGTGTGAACAGTTAAGAGTTACATAGAAATGGTTGTGTAATTTAATGTTTTATCTTGGGATAAATCCTAAGGCCTAATCACAACCTAGTAAAGTCGTATTTGATCTCAAGAGTATATTGGTGATGCATGACTTATGTTAGTGAGGATATAGATAAAAGTTTTTGCATATTGATAGTTGATTTCCTTTCATTGGACTATGCTAAAGTCTTTTCTTTCAGTTACCGTTTATTGAAGCTAACATGTGGGCATCACTTTGTTTTGAATTGCATATCTTCAACTCACATTTGAACTATAAGTGATGAACTACAATAATATGAGACATTCTTTTAAAGAAGGGTTAATTGCACTAGAGTTCCCCAACATATGGACTTTGTCTCATTTTGGTCTCTAATGTTTCATTTGCATAATTTTGGTCCTTAAAGTATTAAATATGTTTCTATATAGTCCCTCGAGTAAACAACATCATAAACTTGTCACATGATTCTTAAATATGGACAAAAAAATAACTTAGATAACTCTTAACCAAATTTTTGCTCAAATTTTAGTTAAATACCTACATAGAATAGTTTTGATTTTTTTGCGCTATCCAAATTTTGATCAAAAGCTACCCATATTACACATTTTTTTATCAAGAGCTACCCAAATTTTGTTTAAAAGTTATCAAAATTATTTTTTATCCATATTTATCTATTATGTGACAAGTTTATGATAAAAAAATCGTTAGGGATCTAGACATTGTTTGCTTAAAGGATTATATAGAAACATATTCAATACTTTAGGGATCAAAGTGATGCAATTGAAATATTGGAGACTAAAATGAGACAAACTTCATATTTTGGAGATCTCTATTGCAATTAACCCTTTAAAGAAATATATTTTGTGACAATTGAAATTGAAACAAATGGATTGATAGTTGTAAGGGTGAGCACTTAGTGGATTGTTGATTTGGTACAATTATTTCACACTACACACGAGTTTTCATGATAAATTAATATGTGTATACTTTCATATAGCGACGTGTTCCATATTTTGCTTTACAAATGCTTATTGATTGCATAGGACTCTAAGTTCTTGGATTATAATGTTTATTTGTATTATAAAATTATTATTTTGATACTCATTGACATTTAATGTTTGTGCGTAGCATCACTATAAACCCTCATGAGACGACACTCGTCCACTAGGGATCACTTAGGGGTTTAAAGGCTTGTTGCATGGGTTAAATGCAATCATGAGTCTTATGAAAGTGGATGTACATAAAGGTTTAGTTTATTTTCTTACTTTACTTCATCCTAGAGACTAATAAGAGCTAGGTTGGGTGGTGTGATTAGCCCTAAATATTGCATATTTATTCTATCATTTGTAGGCTAATTATCAATTTTCCAGGTGAAATGACAAGATTATGAGGCAAATAAGCAAACACGAGAGTGGATTGCATAAAGGAAAAGAGAAAATTTGAAGATTGAAGTTCAGAAATCCACTACTGAATGAAATTTATCCATATTCGGATGTGAGGTGCTACATCAGAGGCAAAAACAGGCTAAGCTCCTAGAAGGCCAAGTTTGGATATCATTGATCCACGTCCAAACGCATGTCTTTACTCCCAGCCAATCAAGAAAGCCCATTGATGCGAGAAGAGATCATCTTCCTCCTTGGGAAAAAAAGTACAAAGTACTTTTTGCAGAGTTTAGAGAGCTTTACCAAATTTGAAAATGTTCTATTTATTTTTCTTCCTTAATTTTGTAATTAGCACATTTCCTATGTCTGGCTAATCATTTATACTAAGGCTAGGGGAGATTTCATTTTAATTTGGTATGTAAATTAATCTTATGTTCTTCATATGATGATTACTTTATTAATCTAGTCCATCATATTTTAGCAAAACTTTCTCTTGATATATAATCTCTTGAATTATTATACTAATTGTGATGAATGCTTCAGATTCTCTATCAGCTAAGTAGTTAGATGTAGATACTTGGGTTGAATTGTTAAAGTTTTTATTTAATTAATTGATTTGCTAATTTTTATGAATTTGGATGTTTGATTGGTTAATTTTTTGATTTATCATTAACTCTGGCCATGTTAAATAATTGTAATTAACAATTGAATATTTGGATTCATTACAATTATTCATTGATTATACTCTAAGAGAATTTCCTAATTAATTATTGTCAACTCTCCCAATTGGGTTCACTCTCTAATTGATTCTCAATCGAAATTAGAAAATAGGATTAATTTGCTACCCAATGGTTATTGAAATAGTNTTGTCAAATCTCCCAATTGGGTTCACTCTCTAATTGATTCTCAATCGAAATTAGAAAATAGGATTAATTTGCTACCCAATGGTTATTGAAATAGTACCCAATGCCTTAGTATTTTTCCACATTACTTTTTTTTAAAACAATTTTGGTTTATTTGTTTTAAATTCCAATTACCAAATCATTCTCTCAAAAAAACAACATATCTTCTTTTATTAATCTTTTTTCACTCCAAAATCTCCAATTCCTTGTGGATCGATCTTAGACTCTACCAAGAATTACTACTTATTTGACAACCTATACTTGAGTTTACAACTTTCGAATTGAATCAGTGTGCCAAAAGATTGTTGCACCAAAATTTGTTGTTATCGACGAAGGAAACTCAATCGACAAACATCTTTTAGACGATTGTTAATGATGGGTTCAATTGCTTTGTTTCAGGGCTTTTGGAAGAATTTTAAGGGGATAATCACACAATACATGAAACTAATAAAATATATTTCCTTTATTAATTTAGTTGAAAGCATTGTAGTTACAAAGAAGACTGAGTTAATAACCTTAATTACAACAATAACTACTTCCTAAAATTAATCTAAAATTACTCCTAAAAGTGTCCAAATTAGTGGTCTTTTGAGAGTTTGAATGTATCATTTAACTTCTCCATTATCTGTCTTTTATATCCACTACCTTCCATTAGTTTGTCTTCATCGACGGTTATCTAATTATTTCTCTTTTTTAAACAAGTTTGTGCATAATCATCTCCCACTTTTCTTCACATTCTGACACGTGACATTTTCTCAACACATTTAAACTAGTCAGATGTCGATATATAAAATATTCCTCTAATTTTATATTTTAAGTTCAACCAGTGCCGTAGTCAAGTCCTTAAACTCTATTATTCTTATAACATTGACGAACTATCGCTTTGGATTAGATGTCATGTACTAGTTCAATTTATTAGCACGCGATATGACTGTTGTGTTGAATATTTTGTTGGTGTATTTTGCAATCTATCCGCACTTCCTATTGTAAGAAAAGGAAACTCTGTATAACCGCAGAGCGTTTTGTTTCCATGCATCCTTAAAGAGAATTTATTCAACTCATACATAATTAAAACCATTAATTAACTGTCCTTAACAAATATTAACTACAACAAATGAATGTCAAAGTGCCCACCACCCCATCCCCATCCCCATCCCCACCTCCCCCCACCCCACCCATGGAGACTGCTCTTCTACCTCTCCTCCTTACCTTCTTCTCCTGCATGGCCTCATCAGCAAGAATGTTGAGCGCCGCCTACGTCTACAACCCATCGCCACCGCGCCCGTCGTGGGAGCAAATAGAGATAAACAACCTGAACAATTCAGTGGCTATCGTATCGTGTGGTCCGGATGCTCAAGGGGAGGGGCATGTAGTGGCTACACTAAATCCTCAGCAGACTATGAACTGGACAACATATGTCACATACCCATTTAAACCAAATACCTTGGCTTGTTTCGTATCATTCTACGGCGATCCGAGCAAATTCGTTAGCGAGTGGACAAATGAAAAGGGGTTTTTCTGTGCCTTTCCTCGACGTATATGTGGGTATGATTGTAAGTTCAGAATAATGGATGATGAGAGATATGAAGTTTATGATCAACGTCAAAAGAGATGGACCACTGGTTTGCATTCGGGAAACAAGACAGAAGCCATTAAAGCTTGTAAAAGTCAAAGTCATGACTCTATTTCCTAAGTCTGGACTCCTTTCCAAAGAAATAATATGTAATAAAATTGAAAGGGCAAAATGATACTTTGCATTTCGGAAGATTTTTGTATTCTGAATTAATACTTTAAAGGATCCAAATTTTTAGGGTTAATAACATTTTTAGTGTTTAAAGTATATATTTTTTGTCAGTTTAAACTTTACTATATTAATTTTATCAATTTAGTTCCTAAAATATTCATTTGTATCACTTTAGTTCCTAAATTTTTTGACGGAAGTGACCACGTATCATTTTTTTTAAACGGTATCACGTGTCCAACACGTGATCATTTTGTCAAAAATTTAACAATCCATCTAAGTAAAGACTAGAATTACACGAATTGAATATTTTAGGAACAAAATTGATATAATTAGAATTAAACTGACAAAAAATACATATTTTAGAGACAAAAAATTTTATTAAACCAAATTGTTATATTGTACATTCAATCAAATAAAAAGGTAATATACTCTGTTTTAAGAAAATTGAATACAATTTTTTTTTTATCTGAAACAGTTACAACTGAGTATTATGCAAATGACTGTGTATGGAAATAGGATAATATAATAAATATAAAAAAAAAAGAATTTATAGACAAAAAGCAACCAACGTTTAATTTTAGACTATATATTTTTTTTGTATAAATAAAATTGCAATGTGAGCATCATAATATTTTCAAGGTGTATATTGAGAATTTAAAAATCTTTTGAAAGTGCAAAATATCATTCATCCAATCAAAAAACGTAAGTTTTTTGACACTGAAAAATGATTTTAGAAAGCAACATAAGAAAAAACAAAAAGAAAAAAAATGTTTCCTTTTTGTTTTGCTTTTCTCCTTCTTTGGGTCTGATCCGCTAAGTAGGGCTATTCAAAATTCCGCTCACCCATCCCATTTTGATTATTCAAAATTCCGCTTACCCATCCCATTTTGATTATTGAAATTCTGCAAAATTTTTGTTGGCCAATAAAAGAAATTTTAATATTTCGTAAAATCACGGGTAAGAATGCAAAAAACCCTAAAATTTTTGTATTCCTACTCGACTCACACAGATATTTAATTTTTTTTTAAAAAATAATATATTTGTTATAAAATAACGTCGTTTTATATGTTTATATAATCAAATTTATTATTTATTATTTAGTGTTATTGGCTTATTCATATTGTGTTGGTTTAAATGTTCTTATATCATATTTTAATAGCCTAATCGTAAAAGTAGCCCAAAAAATTGGTAATTGAGTTATTAAAATGATGTAAAAATTAATAATATGTGAGATAATTTTGGACGGAATTTGGCTTAGAACGGTATCCTCAATCGGGTAGGATCAACTAAAAACTTGGCCTTTCGTAATTCATCGACTCAAAAGACGAAATGCATTATTTCTTACCTGCAGACTCTAGCGAATAACCCCCTCGCTAAGGTTAGACCCAAATCTAGTATTGTCTTGTCAATTTTGCATTCTTTCATATAGCCCTTAGGACATGAGCGGACAAACTAATTTTATTTTTTGATGGGCCAGGCGTAAGGGCCCAACTCTTGCTATGAGCCCAGTTTAAATTAAGAGTCCAACTCCAAGAAATTCAACGCCCAAAGTATTCCACGTCTAATCAAGCTCATCAGGTTCGAGGAGTTTCATCAGTAGGAAAGGATCCAACGGTCATCCAAAATCCTCCTTCTACCCACCTTGGAGTAAGGGTCACCTAAGAGTCTCATCCTCGTCGCCTTGAAGAGAGTCAACTTTCACCTCATCCTTTGACCAAGTCCTATGAAGAGTATTGTAATTGTCTCGCCCATTGAAAAAAGGTTGTCACCTTTGCCTCTACCGAATCAGCTATTTAATTACTATTAAATCACCTCAATTCGTTATGACAGCCAGACTAGCTATTTAACTATTATGCATAATGAGACAACTGTTATGTAGGTTCAACCAACACTTGGGGGGCATCATTACACTTAATCTGAGCACAACTCTCTTCTCCCTCTCTAAGCTTGTAACTCTCAATTCACCTTATATACTTAAGTTAATAAAATACCTGACAACCCTTGTCATTTAAAGTGGATGTAGGTCATGTTGACCAAACCTCTATAAACCTTGTCTTCTTTCTCCCTCTACTTATTTATTGCATTTTGTACTGCTTACTTGACATATGGTGTGCTAACTAATTTGTGCATCATTAGTTTGACACCGTCTATGGGAACGACAAAATTCTCACCTAATTACCTTTTTTAATATACCAATGACGATCACCACCTGATCCATGAATCAGATTGAAGACAATCCAGCACAAGAGGAAAATGTTGCTCATCCACCAACCAATCCTGTTCCGAATGCACAACAAATGCTAGAAACAATGCAATAGCTTGTAGCTCAAAACCAGTAGATTTTGCAACTGATGCTCACTAGACAACAAGGAGGGGCACAACCTGTGATACCCCAAGCTAGAGGAACTCCACGCCCTGTGCATCAAGGAGCTCTCTACTTGGGGGCGCCCCATACAAGGGAGCCCAACATGAGGGACCTCCACCTCCACTTCAAAACTCCTTATTCTGGAGATCCCCATTTTCAAGAGGATGAGGGCGAAAATCAAAGTGTGGAGCATGTGAGCCATTTTCATGACAATTTCAAAGGAGTCCCAAATCACTGGGCGAAAAAATCAAAAAAATACAAAATCAACTAGGCGACGTCTTCAATGCTATGAAGGCACATGTACTAAAAAACCGTGGACTACCTTGTTAGGTGAACAGACACACCCTTCATACCTAACGTGGCGAACTACCTACTTCTCCAGAAGTTCATAATGTCATCCGTTGAAACCTTTGAAGGTACAAAGGTCTCACTTGATCACCTCGAAACCTACAAAACCTTAATGCAACTGCACAATATCCCCGATGAAATTATGTGTAGGGCATTCACAACTACTTTGAAGGAATCAGTGCAACAATGGTTCGCCAAACTCACCCCGGTCTCTATAGGCTCCTTCGCAGAACTGAGCAAATCCTTTGTGACACAGTTCATTGGTGGATGCTGCCATCAAAAGTCTGTCACCTATCTGCTCAACATAAAACATGATTGAGATGAGAGCCTAAGGAGTTACTTCACTCGTTTTAACGAGGAGGTCCTCCAAATCGAGGAGCTCAATGACAAAGTCACCATGATTGCCTTCCTGGGAGGCCTCCGCTCATCGAGTTTTCTCTTTTCAATAATGAAGTGACTACCAAAGAGCATGCCAAAACTATTGGCAAAAGCTCAAAAATATATGAATATTGAGGACATCAACAGGTTCAAGCGAGGTGAATCATCTCACCGACTATCTATGCTCTACTCTCAAGCAAGTAGTTTATATCTCCAGCTTAACAGCCTCTCTCGCGGGTCGCCATAAAAAGCTTGGTCTATCTTGGCTCTGCTTTCAAGCAGGTAGCCTATTTCCAGCTTAGTAGCTCTCTCGCGGTTTGCCAAAAAAACTTAGCCTATCTCTTTTTTGCTCTCTCTCTCAAGCAGACAGCTTATCTTCAGCTTAGCGGCTCTCTCGTGGTTTGACAAAAAAGCTTGGTCTATCTCTGCTATGCTCTCTCTCAAGTAGGCAGCCTATCTCCAACTTTACGGCTCTTTCGCGGGTCGCCAAAAAAGTTTGGCCTATCACTGCTCTACACTCAAGCAGGTAGCCTATATCCAGATTAGCGGCTCTCACGCGGGTCACCAAAAAAGCTTGACCTATCTCTGCTCTGCTTTCAAGCAGGCAGCTTATCTCCAACTTAGTGGCACTCTCGGAGGTCGCCAAATACTTGGTCTATCTCTGCTCTGCTTATATGCTCCGTTTGGTAAGAAGGATGAAAAGTAGGAGGAATACATTTTCTATCCTTCAACGATGAAAAATATGAATGATACACTTTCCTTACTTTATGTTTGGTTAGATGGATAAAAAATAAAAATGATAATTTTTTTTTTAATTTTTTTTTGTGATGGCTAAGATTAGAGTTGATAATCGAGTCGTGTTGTATCAGATTTGTGTTGAGTCATAAAATTATGAGCCTTTTATATTTTTTGTTCACATGTCAGGTCATTTTCAAGTTCGTGTTGACTTATAATCAAGTTCGTGTAATAAAATTTGTTTCAAATTCGAATTGTGTCATTGTGTTGAGTTGAAAATTTTCACCCCTAGTTAAGCTGAAAAAGAAAATATATATATATTTTTTATTTTTTTATTTTTTAATTTTAAAAAAATATATATGTGTGTGTGTGTATATATATATATATATACATACATATATACATATTTTATCATTATATTTTTATATGAAATTAATGTATACATAATATATAAAGACAAATAAGATACATCTTAACACAAATAATTAACTTTCAATCCATTTTCTTTCCGATTTTGGAGGGATTGATTTGGGTGAGTTTGAAGGAAAGTTAATCTATCCATTTTTTCACCTTTCCTACTTTCCTTCCTTACCAAACATAATGTTTTATTTATCTCACTAACTTTCCATCCTTCCAACTTTCATCATACCAAACGGAGTATTAAGCAAACAGCCTATACCTCAAGCTTAAGGACTCTCTCATTGGTTGCCAAAATCTCAGTCTCAAAAGGTGTAGTTCTCTCATGAGCAATCCTCAAACTCTGTCTTTGCTTTCACGCACGCAGCTTACCTCTCTCTCTCTCCAGGTAATTATGTTAGATATTTGAATGTTTGAAATAACTATATGTTTGTCATCTCTAGGCACGTTTTTGAAACTCAGGCTGTCTGAGACTACATTAGATTGAATGTCAACAATCGGGACTCAACCTTTTATTGCCCATCCGACACTGTCGCCTCGTTGCTGCAACCCTGTAGCGCTTAACACCTAGCGCAAACAAGGCCTAATTGAGCCAAGAACCCATGGCTAAATGCGCCACACCCAGCGGCTCGTCCAACGCAGTAGCCTTTCCTGCGCCCCTAACCAGCGCAATGCAACAACCCTCTTGCGCCCCCAAACAGCGCAGCAACCCCTCTTTTGTGCCCAGACAATGCAGCCATTCTCCTGCGCACACGGCCATCTCGCCCACCAACACCGCTGCACGACTCGCCTCCCGACGCCCAAGCATTGGCGCTCGACATGCCATCTCGCAAAGCAGAGCTTGCCCATGGGGGACCCTCCTCAGTAGAGCTCGCCCATGGAGACCTTTACCTAGTGGAGCTCACCAAGTCCCAGGCTCGCCCAAGGGAGCTCGCCAAGTTCAAGGCTCGCCCAAGGCACACAAGCGCACAACCTGCTTGCCCAAGACTACCAAGGCGCACAACCTGCTTGCCTAAGGCACACAGGCGCATAGCTGTTCGCCCAAGACTGCCAAGGCGCACAGCTGTTCGCCCAAGACTGCCAAGGCGCACAGCCTGCTTGCCTAGAATAGCGTGTCCAGCTGCTTGCTCGCCCAAACTGTGTGCTTAGCTCCTTGCTCGTTATTTTGACCATAATTTTTGCTTTATTATTCCAAATTGGGCTCGTAATATATTAAATAAAAACTCTCAGCGAGCCCTACAATACTTATATCCTTTGACTATGATTGATGTGATTAAAAGTCCAAAAAAGGCCTAGAAACAGATGTTTTGGCCTCTCAAAGTTTTTTCAGTTGTGCGTTCAGCCGAAATTCAAATTCAACCTAATGTCCTCCTCTCCAAGTCCCNCACCCTCATTACTTTAAGCTAGTAAAAATCTAATTTTAGGCCTTATAAAAATCTAATATCACAAAAAAAATTTCTCATAAAAGTCTAACTTCAAAGAAAAAAAATCTAAGACTAATCCTAAAAATTTGATTAACAATCACATTTGACCAAGAAAAAAAATTGAATTGTATTCATTACATATTTTTCTTTTTAAATAAATTTTTTTTTGNACAAAGGTCATCCAAGAGCCTCCTGCTAACCACTTTAGAGTAAGGGTCATCAAAGAGCCTCCCCCTAGCCACCTTGGAGTAAGGGTCATCCAAGAGCCTCATCCTTGCCGCCTTTGAAAGAGTCAACTCTCATCTCATCCTTTAACTGAGCCTTATGGAGAGTATTGTAACTATATCACTCATTGAGAAGAGGTCGCCACCTCCGCCTCCGCTGGATCAACTATTTAATTACTATTAAATCACCCCAATTCGTTATGACTGTCAGACTAGCTATTAAATTATTATGCGTTATGAGGTGACTATAAATTGTAAACTCTGCCAACACTTGAGGGGCATCATCACACTCAGTTGAGCATAAGTCAGTTCTCCCCCTCTAAGCTTGTAACTCTCAGTTCTCCCTACACACTTAAGTTAATAAAATATTCGGCAGCGCTTACCATTCAAAGTAGATGTAGGTCATATTGACCGAATCACTATAAACCTTGTCTTCTCTCTCCCTCTACTTATTTATTGCATTTTGTACTGTTTACTTGACAAGTGATGTACAAACTAATTTGTGCATCATCGCTTCTCATTAAAAAACATAAAGTATTAAAGAAGAAGGAGCTAAATTCAATGGACACAACCACGGATCTGAAGCCAAAAAATGGTAACTAGAGGATGATTAAAGCGCATAACAGTGTACAGGGTTTAGACTTCAAAAGGGACTAATCTTCAAAATAAGCAAATAAAAATAACATGTCAAGATGACCAGTTTTTTTAAATCTTGAAAAACTACACAGAAGTTAAAAAAATGTTTAAAATATAGTTTTTCACCCTCATTACTTTAAGCTAGTAAAAATCTAATTTTAGGCCTTATAAAAATCTAATATCACAAAAAAAATTTCTCATAAAAGTCTAACTTCAAAGAAAAAAAATCTAAGACTAATCCTAAAAATTTGATTAACAATCACATTTGACCAAGAAAAAAAATTGAATTGTATTCATTACATATTTTTCTTTTTAAATAAATTTTTTTTTGAGTAAATAATATGGAACTGAAAACTACCATCAACTCTCTCTGGTTTGAGAACTTAAAAAACATTTTTTGATTGAGTTATTGAAGCACATAAGATTTTAAATTATTTTTGGAATGCATGCATTGATTATAATCTATTAGGGACATTATATACTTGTAACAATTATTGCACAAAGGATGTTTTTTAAATTAAATGAATAATATCCTATCTAAGATTGTAGAGGTCATAAGAAAAATCAAGTATGTTGGTCATATTATCAAACACCTCATTTAGAGTTATCGTTTTAACCTAGAAATTATCTCGAGTTACCAAAGAGTCTTTAGTTTAACGATACTTCTTATTTCTTAAAGGTTTTACTTTATTGAAATCAAGAGTTCNTGTAACTCTCAGTTCTCCCTACACACTTAAGTTAATAAAATATTCGGCAGCGCTTACCATTCAAAGTAGATGTAGGTCATATTGACCGAATCACTATAAACCTTGTCTTCTCTCTCCCTCTACTTATTTATTGCATTTTGTACTGTTTACTTGACAAGTGATGTACAAACTAATTTGTGCATCATCGCTTCTCATTAAAAAACATNCAGCCATGGAGGCAACTTTTGTACCCTTTCTCTTTTTCTTCTTCTTCTTCGTCTCCAGAGCCTCATCATTCGGAATCAGCGCCGCCGATCTCTCCCCCATGGCCGCAGCCCTGCCGCACATGCCACCGCCTCGAAAAGAAACATCGACGTTGATCATAGAGCTAACCAATCTGTCTCATTCCGTGGCCACCGTAACATGTGGTCCGCTTACATTTTTGGCTTCAATGAGGTCTCTGCAGACCGTGGACTGGATTTTCAACAAAACTGGAGTTACAGACCCAACAGCATTTATTTGTGTCGTAGCTTTGGACAGTGAAGGCGAAACTTATGATGACCCACTCTGGGGACCCATAGACGGGTACATTTGTGGCTTCCCTAAACGTAAATGTAGGAATCATTGTAAGTATAGGGTTATAGATGACGATGGATTTGAAGTTTACAATGAATTTCACAACAAATGGGAGACTGGTGTGTATTCGGCAAACAAGACAGCAGCCGTCAAAACATGTAACGAATAAAATGACTCAAAGAACTCCTCCTTCCCCTCAGGTCATCCGAAAGAAAACAACGATGGAAAGTGAAAATATGTAATAGAAGGTGAAGCCAGAGAAATCAAAGTGAAATTAAAATACATAACAAAATTTTTCAAAATATTACATCTCACATTTTGAAAATTGGAAATTACAATATAACTATTCTACTTTGTCTAAAAATTGCTGTTTTCCATTTTTAACGACAAAATAGACAAGAAAATGTCTTAAATCCATCTTATTTTTCCACTTATTTTGTGGTTTGTTCTACAAGAAAAAAAATTAGAAATAGAAACAAAGCTCACAATTTCGTAACTTCTAACCTTATTTCCTAAAGCGTTCCCCGCTAGCAATCCCCGGAGGTGAATAAAAGCTGGCTGGGGCACCCTTCCCCCTCGAGAATTCTTCTAGTGTTTTGTGGGATTAGGAGTAATGCTATAGTTATTTATTTTGTTCTCTTTTAAAATACCTAAACAATAGTGTGCGTGCAGGATCTTGCACAATATAAACACGAGAACAGATCTCTCCCATGGTGAACTCGAGTCAGTCAATCGAATGATCAACCTTGCTGCTTGGAACAGACTGTGAGGTTTGGTGGTGGCCTGGAACGGTAATGGGTGACTTTCGTGGATCAACGGAGCGGTCCAGTATGGCTGAGGGAGGTTTCTGGAACAGAGAAAAATGAGTTAGGAGGGCGCCGGAGTGTTTTTCGGCGTATCTCATCCGACGATCAAGTCAGTTCTTTGAGAGAGGGGAAGGAGAAAACACTGTGTATTTCTTTGAGAAAAGGTTTTTTGTTGCATCCCGTCTTGCCTTTTATGAGGAGTATTTATACCTCAAAAACTCATTATTGCTTTCAATGTGGTCAGTAGGTAATCATTAGATACGGCAACGTGCGCATTGATTCCTATGAGGAATGTCTTCTCTCTTAACTGCTCGGGACCCCAAGCAACCAATGCTTCGTCATCGGCCTGCCGAATGTTTACTAAGCTTCTCTTGACAAGGATGTAATAAATGCCCAGTCATAGAGACATTTATTACCTTTCACTTCCAAACCTTCTTGCATTAAATGATGTCTCATCAAGGGAATGGTGCACTAAGTGCTTGCTTTTCCCAAGTCGTATGTCAGCAAAGGCATCTCGGTCTTTTTGTCTCTGATCTGACACAATATGCCACATGACCATTCCCCATTGGTTGTGTCTTCTACCTTCTTGTGCCTTCTGACACCAATTGTGTAAGACGAGGTTATGATGGCTATCCTAGCCTAGCCTAGGCTAGTACATCAATAGCCTCTGCAGGAACAGAAAACGTCAACCTGGACGGGTACATCTTGGTACCGAGGGAGTGGTACATGTAGGGACCGATGTACCCATATCTGACCGAGGGATACGTGTCAGTATGTAACGTATTGGGTGTCATTGACCCCTATGAATAGTACCTCGGGAGAAGAGGGACTTGTGAACCGACGAGTACGTGTCGTGATCATAGTAGCAAGAATATACTGATGCCGAGGGCACGTGTCTTCATCTTGGAGTATCTGGAAATGTCCCATCAACTGCCCCCCCACCTTCGATCTCCTGACACCGAGGACACACGTTGTAAGGAGATGAAGGGTTCTACAACTACCTCAACTACTTTATCATTGCCTCTAGCCCGCTTTCCCCTGTTTAGGAGGTCGTGCGCATTAAATGCGTCTCTTCGTGCTTTGTGCCCAAATGATGGGGATGAGTACTATATAAATGGGTTTCCTCTCTCCCTCTCTTATTTCGTCATTTCGAACTTCTTCAGAGAGTCCTTGCCTGAAACCTCACCGGAGATCCCTTTCCTTTCGTTGTCTACTACCCAACCTTTCACCGGAGTCTCAAGGCCAGCAGACCCACCCTTGCTTCTGAACATCCTAGGGGAAGGAATCACTTCAAGTTTTCAAGAAAAACTTCCGTTTACGTTCTGGTGAGTCCTTGTATCTTCCCTCTTTTCGCCCTATTGTCTCCTCTTTTCTTCTTCTCGCTGTTTTTATTTTCTTTTGATTTTTCGATAACTGGAGGTATTTCTGGTTGCCACTCTGTGATCAACCCTCGGGAAGCCTCCTCAGGGATCTTTGTGGGAAAACCCCTCCCTTCTTCCTCAATTTTCATCATTTTTGGAGATGCCTTGACGTTGCCCCGCCCCTGAGAATCCTCAGGCTAGTTCCTCGAGGCCAGGGAAGTACAAAGTGAAGGGGGACGAGCAGATTAATAGGTTTAGGGTCCGGTATCGCTTCCCCCCATATGTAGACATAGAGGATTATAACTCGGCTGTGCGTTCCCGTACTCTCGGGGCCGAGGATGAGATGCTCTTTTATACCAAAGTCATCATAGAGAGTGAAATTAGGTTCCCTCTGCCCCCTCTACTCCTCCAGTTCCTCTCCCATTTCCACCTTCCCCCTCGCATATAAGCCCTTGCACTCAAAGAAGGAGGTACCCACTAGCGACCTGATCAGGTGCCTAGTGGGTACCTCCTCCTTTGAGTGCAAGGGCATATATGCGAAGGGGGAAGACGACTCTCTTCCGATGTAGGATTGCCTTAGGAAAAGGTCCTATTGGCGAAGAGAGGTAAAGGCTACTGGGGCTCGGTGCCGCCAGGTCAGCCGAAATCCTTCGAGTTGAGGGATGAGATCCGTAGCGATTTCTACCCCTTACAGAAAGACGCGTTTTATGTTAGGGGTAGAAATCGCGCGTTCGGATCTCATCCCTGAACACCAAGGATTCTGGCTGACCTGCACCCTTTGCTAAGGTAATACAGTAGCCTTTACCTCCATCCCACATCGGGTAGGAGTCGTCTCCCCCCCTGCCATATAAGTGAACACTTCCTATGGAGGAGGTACCCACTAGAAAAGGGTGCAGGCCAGCTAGAATCCTTGGTGTTTAGGGATGAGATCCGAACGCGCGATTTCTACCCCTAACAAATAGAAAACTTCATAGGAGAGTTTAAAGACGTTTAAACAATTTAATCCTTTTTAGATGTAAATTAGAAAAACATGATGTAATATGACGTAACCAAAAGCTTTCCCATTTTACACTCAACAACGCATGTGCATGCCCACCCATATTTGAATCTTGGTGATTCCTTGCTTTTCTGAGAAGCACAGTAACATGGCACTACTAGGTTCCAACAAAAATTGAGCCAGTCGTTTTGCGCATCTTAAATTAAGAAAAAAATTATTTTCATGTATTTAGTGGTAATAATCTTCTTTTGGGGGGGAAAAAAAAGAGAACCATTCAAAATTGAAATTGCAAAATAGATTGTGGGTGTCCTCTTTTTGGCAAGGAAGTGCTGACCGGCAAAATTGTCGACCGGCATAGTAATGGGTGGCCTTTGGGGGAGTGGGTGCCGACCGGAAGACACTCTACTTGTTAAGATGTACTCTGCGAAGACTCATGCATCTTGTTTGCTCGCTTCTGCTAGACGAGTCCTATTCGGGTAAGGTTCAACCTTCAACCTAGAGTTCTAGTTAAATGCTACTCCAATAAACAGGAGCTAATGATAAAGGCCAACGACTAAGAGCCTTAATCTAACTGTACCCCATACTTCTAGGACATGGTGATGAGCTTTAGCCAATCAACATAGAATTCGGGTTCCATTGGGACACATCTTCTAGGGAAGGCATTCAATCCAGGCCTTGTCCCGCCCCAAATTTCATAAAAACATGATTAAAACAAATATTTTGTTTATTTAAAAAAAACACATGCCGGTATGTTGTAAAAATATCTAAGAAATTATCTCTTTAGTTGAAATAAATCAAATTGTTTCTTGCAGAGTTTCCTTTGAAAATTGGGCTTTCAACCAGATAGTAAGATCATCCCTGTGAGAGCATAACATAATTTAAACTAACTAAATATCCACAACATGCCTCAATCCAAAAATATAATTTAACTAAATCTGGGGTGGTAGTTATANATAATTTAAACTAATTAAATATCCACAACATGCCTCGATCCAAAAATATAATTTAACTAAATCTGGGGTGGCCCACGAAATCCTCCAAAACCTGGATACATCCAACACCAATATATACCACAATTTAGTACCCAAAGTTATAACTTTACATTACTATACCCAAAATAATAATCCATTTATGGGATGATCAAGTGTACACCATAAATACCTCAAGACAAATTTTTCAAATACAATGCTCGAGTGCTAACATTTCTACATAAGTTCTAAAGGTAAATGCAAAAAAAGTTCCAAAAGAGATTTTTTCTAGTTTAAGCTCCCACAAGCATTTCATCACTTATGCCCCAGGATGCATGTTAGTCTCTAAAAATATTAGTAAAGGATGAGCAACCACACGCTCAATAGGATAATTTTTTTCCCAAGCATTTATAACGTTTTAAAAACCAACATTTCACAAATCATATGAATAAGTAATGAAAACTTTCTATAATTAAATACATGTACAAGATAATAAGTAAAGCGTTTATAAAAATCTCTCAACACTTCAACATTAGAAATATACATGGTATAAATAAAAGCCAAACAATCATAGCAAATACTATGCATGCCTCGCATACGGACAATATAATCAATCNTTTAACAACGATTCAAAGTTTCTCTCATCATTTTATTATTTTAAAAATACTAGCAAGTTAATATCATTTATATTTATATAACACACGGGATCTCATAAGCCTACTCACTCTTTACTTTTGATCGACTTGCGATCTAAGTTAAGCATCAGAGTCCATTCGGTCACCTCTGGCCATCGGTTCACCTAGGTATTTCTCTTGTTTTGTAGGTTACTAAAGGTTTCCCCACTGTCCTCTTCANAACCAATCCCCCTTAGGATTAGTAGTCGCCTTGGTAACCCACTCCATAGGCCCAACCATCTACTAACCCTCTATCTGTCAGTATCGGGCATACATTTTCTAAAAATCATTATTTTCTATATCCATAAATCTTTTTGAAAACCCATGTCATAACCTTAACATTTTGTCAAACATATAGTATAC